TAGTAGAGTAATTTTTCCAAACTCGAACTCATTCATCATATATGCTCAAAGAGCGGATAGGAGTCACCCATGCAATTTTTTCGCTTCATTCTCAATACGGATATTGCTGAAGAAATCGATATTAAGTATCAAAAACAGATTTTTTGTCCAATAAGTTTGACACTTTGCCCTACTGTATGATATCCCAATAATTGGAGAGCTCAAAAATAATAATGATTCCTCAGAGATAGGAATTTGCTCATTTTGTCCCAAAATGACTTAAACATTCATCTCAATTAGCTTCAGGAAACAAAATATGATAAGTGATGGTGAGACAACTCACAAATAAAAAATGACTCTGTCGTAACATCATGAAAAATCATATTATTTCTGAACGTTTCTATCAGAATGAAACTTTAATATTGAAAAGCCTTCACGTAGCCAATAACGTAATATTTTCTCGTGGCGTCAGAGTTGTATATAACTTTTTAATTGAATATTAAGAGTTGCTGTCAGAATTCAGCACAACTTCTCGCGTATACAGAATCAAAAAATCGAGAGCATCATTCAAACTGAATCGAAATAATAGATCAGGATCCTTTAGTAGTGCAAAATATTTTTCAGTCATGCAGTTTTGGGGTTCCACTACGTGAGAAAATAAATTGATTTTATTTGCAACTTCATTGCTTCCTCAGAATATATTTTCCCTCCTTTGAATTCAAAGACAACTATATTTTCTCATGTTGAAGTTCCTTGAAAGCTTACAATTCGCTCCTGATGTGAGTACTTACGGTGCAAATTGAGGTGTGTGTAATGTATGGAAGTTGTGCTGGGTTAAAATATTCAAAATACCGTATTCAATAGACTTCGGTTCGATGTGGAGAGTAATGTTGATTCGCGTTTGTGTTGATTGATACATGTCGGGGACCACGATCTGATGTCTGCAATAAGAATAAGAAAACATAAAAATAATGAAACAATGAGGACCAGGTAACTAACTGATATCAACCTCTTCACTTCGCGAGAATATATTCAAACGAAAAATATCTATCCTAACACAAGGAGCAGTCATAGAGTCAGTCTGAACTTCGCTATGGTCATACTAATTCTTCCGATTCGAATAATATGATGATGCTTTCAAGAGAAATTGTCATAGTCCGAAATGAGATGTTTGAAGTACGTGCAGATTTTATTTCAATGGGCACGGTAGTGATGAAAGCTCTCATGCCAATAGTTGAACAACAGAAAACACCTGGCTGCAAGGTCTCTGATTGGTCCGTTGTATTTGGGAGCAGGGATTTATATCCACCAAACCTTAGAACGATAACCATGCTGTAAGCTCTCCTGATTATTACATGACCGTACAATAGGATGTAGCATTCAATCATTCATACAATAATTTGATTTCAACCTGTTGTGTTTGCACAGTTGCTATGATCATATCAATGATGGAAGTAAGATATGGTTTAATTACTGATGCGCTTCTGTTTCAGAAATTTCACTCGACCTCTCGAGAACAGCGAGAGCAATGGTTCCGTCGATCTTTTAATAAATGGCGACATTGCACAATTATGACATCTGTCAGTTTTGAAATTGTCGCCGATTTTTCGAGTTCAGAGTTGAATAATCCCAATCCCACTAGGTGCGTTTTATTGGCAATATTCTTCTACCGGATCGACAGTTCTCGTCGTTTTATTGAACATTATTCTGAAACCAGTTCCAACTTTTCATTCCGTCTCATTAGACGGAATGACAGGAAGAAGATTATGTAACAGGTGACAGAAAGGCGGTATATGTCAGTAAACGTGATTTGAATTTTTGAATTTGAATATTCGAAATTGAAAAGAAGAAAGAAAACACTCGAAACGAAAAAAATGGAAGGCCATTTAGTTCAAACAGATACTGGGGAATACCTATGGTTCAATAGTAGAAGTGAGTAATATAATGAGATTTGACCCTCGTCTCACAAATTTTGATGACCCGCATTCTTTCAGCTGGCTTGTACGAATTTATCAGGACAGAAGTATCTGCTGCTGTAAATGGGGTAATACCAGAGAGTATGGACAAAAATAATGCTGAAACAGGAGACACCTCATTCAATGATGAAACAGCTTATGAAACATTGAAAGATAATGACAATAATTTGAACCTGGTGGAGAGGAAGAACATCTGGGATAGTAAACAGACGCTTTTGCTCATTGATATATGTGGGCACAATAAGGACCGGTTAAACAATCCTAAATATAGAAAAACGGAAGTATACAAAGAAATATCTGACCAAATGAAAAAGAATGGACACTTCTTCTCAAGTGAACAATGTTTAAATAAAATGAAAACACTAACCACCAAGTACAAGGAGATACGAGATTTCAATGCCACTTCTGGAAACAATCCTAAAAAATGGGCGTTTTTTGATATACTGACAGAGTACTTTGGAGATCGCCCAGGTATAGTAGCCAGAGCATCATGTTCAAGCTTGAATATAGCTCGAAATAATCTACCTGATCATAGCAGCCCATCAACATCCAATGTACAGAAGAGAAAATCAGAATCTTGTGAAAGTGAAGAGAAGGGAAAGATGGTTAAGAAAACTCAGGAGAGACAAAATCCAAAAAAAGAAATGGTTGCTTGGCTTAAGGATTACAAGAAAGAAGTGCAAGAAAGAGAGGAAAGGAGGCTGAGTATGGCTGAAAAGCAACATAATGAGAATAAAGAGATGTTGTCACAAATTTTAGATTTGTTAAAAAACAAATCTTCATATGTTGATGCACCTGCACCAGAGTGATATCAAGAATCAGATACCTTTGGTACAACATTTATTCAATGTGAATATTCAGTGTACGTTCAAGTTAATTGTTGATTATTATTTCTTATATGAGATTAAAATGTTTTCATTGTCATCTATTTTTATATCTTTATCCCTCTTTTACATTACCAACAAAATATCATATGCAATTGGGTATTCGAAATATTATGAAAATGCTGTATCTTCGATCATTCCATGTTGGAAAGCAATTTCCCAGAAGTCGAAAAATTGTGCACTATCTCTGATAAACTGAAGAATCTGTTCTAGGATGGATATAAGGACCTATACATTTTGAAAATATTTCCCAGGTGTTTTAAAATGTAGCACTAATAGGTCCCCCTATCTATCCTAAAGAGAACACTTCTGAACAATAAAATTCTTCAGCCACAATAATGTTTTGAGTTGAATAACGTGAATAACCTTCCCATCCCCCGGTACAGGTAGACAGCGATTTTCAAAGAATGAAATAATGAAAAACAATAAATAATTATATATATGATTATATTGAACGAATTAAAACAGCTGTTATACTCTATGCCCTCTGGTATTCCATAAATCTATAACTAATTGATTACGTAGCTGAATGCCACCTAATTCATTTTCTCCTTGGGCACATACCATATCAATTAGATTAACATCAAAGCCATCATCAATATATTGGCGAGGATCATCATCATTTATGATGCATATGTTATGTAGCACACAACTGGCAACAATGATGTTTGCTATATTCTGTGGCTCCTTGATATCTAAAAATTCTTTCAAACGTCTGAACCTTCCTTTGAGAGCCCCAAAAGCATGTTCAATTTTGACTCTCGTTTTTGCCAACATTTTGTTGAAATACACTTGAGATGGTGTCAATTGCCCATTGTTTTTGAAGGGTGGAATCAACCAAGATAATACAGGAAATGCAGAATCACCTAATATGTAATAGTGATCTCCACATAGTTGAGCACCTATAGGAAATATTTCACTTGTTCGAAGTACTCTGGCATCATGGACTCCCCCAGGCCATCTAACATCTACATCTGTAAAAGTCAGGTCATGCTTGCAAATTCCTTGCAAAATCATTGAATAGAATTTTTTTCTGTTGTAATAATCATTGGGATACTCATGGGGTCTAGTTATAGGTATATGACAACCATCAATGACTCCTATTACTCCTGACAAACCATATTTATTGAAACTTAATGATATAGCCTGCTTCTCATGTGGAAGTGGCCATTTGATGAATAATTTACACAATTCTTCTAGAATCACCTTCACTGTTGTATGTAGGCAGTGAAATACCATAGATTTCGTAACTCCAAACCGGTCACCAATAGATCGATAGCTTTCAGGAGTAGCTAATGTCCAAATTGCCACAAGAACCATCTTCTCAACTTCGATTTGTTTTCTACCTCCATGATTACTTAGTTTTCGGAAATGGTCATTGTTGGCAATTTTACCCAGAATGATCTCGAATACATCTGGACTCATTCTGAAATGACTCTTGAACGTTGAAAAACTCATTGATGGAATCACTTCTTCATAATAATTTCGACTTTTAGGGATGATATTACTGGAACTTCTGAAAACATTAGTTGAACCTATTGAATCCCTTCAGGCACCTATATCAAACAGGCTCACAAGTTGAATATTCTCTCCAATATAAGAGTGTCAATTTCATCAACAAATACTAGCAAATCTTGTCTTCTTACAGTTGCACCTATTAAAGAAGACAACAAAAAAGCAGGAACCACATTATCCATAATAATATTAATACTTCGATCTGAAACTATCAGGTGACAACTTGAGAAAGAATCATAATGTTTATGTGTCAACTTGACAGACCGACCCTGACAATCACAAAAAACGAATTGTCGTTTTATTGGCAATTCCTACTACTTTCACCGGGTGGAATCCAAAAAAACGCACCTACTGATACAGCAATAGCAGCATCACCATCTAGCGGGAAAATGTAGATTCAACGTCTCGCTCGTTGTGACGTAGAGAAATCATAGTAAGCGGTCGAGTGATTTTTCTGAAATTTCCTATACGTAATAATGGCCGAATATGCGCACCATATCTTACTTCCATCATTATTGTATTGAAGCTCTGATGGCTGAAGATAGACAGGCATATTGTGCTGGTTCATTCCTCATATTTGTTAGATTATTTGGACACAGTGCAACATGATGATGATATCTGCATGTATTTACTTTGGCAAACATACCCTTCCATTATCGTAGTCCCTTCCTACACCTATGGTCAGTCTTGCTTTGGCTTTCATTGCATCTCCTAGAGGTATCTTTGCTCTCTTAGCTTCTGATTGAGATTTGTAGCAGAATTCCAACATAGCTACAGCCATTGCTATGAAGAGTCCTGCGATGAGGATATAGAATATCCCTGCTACGTTGCTAAGCGATAGTTCGTTTCTAGAAGCATCCTGCAACAAAAATATAATGCAACTTTTTCGTAGTAACTTTGTCAGGGTGATCGATAACTATCGATAGAATCCTGAAATGGGAATCGATTTAATATCATGATTGAGTAATAGATATTATTCAGAAATACAAAAATAAAGTCAGTAGCGCCCAGCGAGCACAAACATCCCTGGGATGTTTTGAAAATGTTGGCATGAAGATGTTATTTTGAGACGTAATATGCACTGACCAAACAGGTCTTTGAAGGATATTGAAGTATTGTTTTTGTTCTTCTGTGGCATTCCTTTGTTTGCCTACTGAGAGGTATCCCTGGGATATTTTGGGATGTTTTAGAAATGTAGGCATGAGGATGTTTTTTTGAGGCGTAATATGCACTTCCCAAAGAGGTCTTAGAAGGATATTGAAAGTATTGTTTTTGTTCTTTCGTGCCCTTTCCTTGTTTGCCCCACCACAACGTCTCATGCTTACGTCACAATACAATGAATTCTGACTTGTTTTCGATTTTGTTCTTCTTGTTCGCAATTGGCATTCGCGTTTGCAGCGTGTCACGCTTACATCACGCTGCTAACGAACAGAAAGGAATTTGGTGAAGTTTATTGTGTTAGAAGACTTATTTTGTTTGTAATAATGACCATCAGATGAAGGATGTGTTGTTCGGTGCCTCAGTGTAATCAATATATCAAAGTATGAATTCATCAATACACAGCTTCTCCGCAGTTGCAAAATCATGCATTGTGGAGAACATTTCAAAAATTGGGAAACCTATTTCCAATTATATGTCTGTGTGTAGTCAGCACTACTCAAAAACCGATTAAGAAGGTAATTTCATATCAAGAAAATATTTTTATGTTCAATTTATTTTTAATGCATTTTTTCATTCAAGGGAAATGGAATCCTAATGCAAAAGTTCATTTTGACAAAAGGCTTCAGAAAAGTACCTCGAAAATGGTTTTTTCCAGCGATTCAATGTGCGCAAGACGCGTTGAAAATGTTCTGTTGTGTCCATGAAAAGGCTTTAAAAAGAACTAGGGAGAAGGTAGTTTTGTGACATATCAAGGACATCTCGATAATTGCCGCCTGCGGCGGACATTGGCTGTTCTATAATTGTTCTATTCATGTGTGAACAGAACATCGCAGTGGAGGTTCAATCCTCGAAATCTCGTACTTTTAACATCTCTGAGATGTTTTTGTGCTCGCTGGGCGTTTTGAAGAAATGTTCTATATACAGGTTGTTTCATAAAAACCTGACCCCCTTACCAGGGTAGGTATAACACTGCAAAATAAGTTGGGTTTAATCAGTAGAAAAATTTAGTTATGGCATCCGTTATCAAGATACAAGGTGTTGAAAAAATTAATTTTTTACACATTTTTCAAGGTTATGTCGAAACTACTGGCAACATTGTGATGAAATTGTGTATGGATGTTTCTTGTAATCTGACACATCGCATGCATTCGCATTTATATCCGACTCTCATAGAGGGCGCTAGTTACACGGTTCGTATCGAATAGTTTTGAACATAACTTTTTTGAGGTTAGATTTTTCTAAATCATATTTGATGTGAACTTGAACATCATTCAATTTCACACCAAAAAGGTACTTCTGGTAAAACTTGATACTGTGTTCCGTTTTCGGAATATTTCGATTTGAAAATGATGAAGTGGTAACTGTTGCTTGTATAAAGCTATTTAATAGAGCGAGTATTATGAAAAATTATCACCTATTTATTGAGAACCTAAAACAACAATACATTTCCGATGCTAAACTTATTGATTCAACAATGAATCACAAGAATAACATCGAAACAGATTTGACTAAGAACGTGGATTACACAGTTTTGTTGTATCTTGAGCAGAAAGCCTAAGCTACATAGGTAAATTCACATCAGAGTTGTAAGACATAATTGAACATCACTTGAATGACCTAACAGCTTATCCTGAACTGTTTAGAAGAATAATACATTCTTAAGAAAAGAATATGGAATCGTGTATTCGTCGAAACGTAGGACATTTTGAACACTTACTCTAACTGATTCAATATTTCATGTTTCTAGTCAAATATCTCTTAATTTTCTACTTATGATTCTTTGTTCCATCAATAACTTCAGCACAAGAATGATTTTATTGTTTTTGAAACTGAATAAATAGGTAATTGAACTCAATAAAATTCAATTTATACCAGCATCAATACTACCCCAATATTTTCAAATCGAAATATTCGGAAAACGGAACATAGTATCGAGTTTTACCAAGAGTTTCTTTTTGGTGTAAAATTGAATGAGGTTCGAGTTCATATCATATTTGGATCAGAAAATCTAACCTCAAAAAAAGTTATGTTCTAAACTACTCGGAACGAACCGTGTAACTACCGCCCTCTATGAGAGTCAGATATAAAAACAAATTCATGCGATGTGTCAGATTTCAAGAAACATCCGTACAAAATAATCGTGAAAAATGTGTCAAAAATTAATTTTTTCAACACCTTGTATCATGAAAACGGATACCGTTACGACATTTTTTCACTGAACAAACCCAACTTATTTTGCAGTGTTCTACCTACCCTAGCAAGGGAGTCAGGTTTTTTTGAAACACCCTGTATTTTTTTTCGTTCTTCTAGCTTATATGCGTCACCCAGAGAATCAGATAGTCCAATACCTCATCTACCACAATCGAATGTCTATGCTGCCCACGTAACCACGTAAAACTTTGAAACAGTAATCTGGTCAGGGAAGTACTGAATTCATGAAACAAAAAGTGTGAAGTTTGAAAAATCGATGGCCATGTCTTTCGTTTTATAGCATATCGTGGATTATGTTGCCGAAAATAATGTAGTGCTGTTTCGTGATTAGAATTTGAGATGAACATCCAAGCAAACTGCAGAGTGTAAAGTTCAAAATAATTTCAATATACCGGGTGACACAGGAGACATGTAGCAGCCTGTAGTTTTTTTATTTGGAGAGACAAAATTTTGAAATCCACTCACTCACTTTACGAACTTAACGACACTTTTTTTCAACCACCTGTTTGACCGGAAGTGACCCCAACTTTTTTTTTTAAATATCACCCTGTACATTTCCCAAGTCAATCTTTTTCGCCTTGAAATTCTCTATCCAACCATGTATCATCACAAAGTGGCATTTATCTCTTAATTCGCTGTTGAATTGCTTTTTATTCAAAAAGAATAAGTTGGTTGTGACATGAATTCGATGATATATCGACACTTGGTAGGCTTTGAAATTCAAATATCATTAGTGAACCGATATTATTCAAAATGTTTTGATATTCTGATCAATGTCTGCAGGTTGTCAATAGCTTGTTTGAGTCAAGATGAAAACCTTCGAAAATAACTCATGATGTTGAGGAATCTAAGATAGGAACATATTTTTTCGAATTCAGCTACTCGTACAGAAACTATCTGTCTTTTATTTTGGTCATGTACCTATCACATAATCTTCCCATTTGAAATAACGGCCTCGTCGGACAATTTCACGTCGAGTGCATTCACTTTTTGCACTTGTTGCATAAATAACTATTAATTCACTATTTTGTGAATATCGAATGAAATGCTGGTTTATTCTTATCATTTTTTTGACTATCCGTCCACTCTGAGTATTTCCAGATAATATAACGGTTGTTCCGGATATGTGAGTTATATACAGGTTGAGTCAATAGTGTGTCCTCCTCCTTCGAGGCAAAACCGACAGATATATAGAAAGAATAATCAGAATACAACAGTTATAAGGTTTCATGAGAACTATCACCTCAAATCATTTTCTTATCTATAGGGTGTTCGAATTCCAAGATATCGCCAGATAATGGATTTTTCAAATGGAACACTAGGTTCTCCCTGAAGGGCTGATTCCACCAAAGCATCACACTTGGGGTCTAGCAGAAATGATTACAGAGATAAAGAGTATTCTAAATCGAGAATTTTCAATTTTAGAATTTTTTTGTGTCGAACTTATGTCCCTTTCGATCTACTACCTACTGACATTCAATTGGAACAAATACAGGGTGGTTCAAGCTTCAAGAAATCTGATCACCCTGTATCTGTCCCAATTGAAAAATAACAGTAGACCAATTGTCCAGTTTTGACCAATGATGAATAGTTTCGACACAAAAAAATCCTAAAGATGAAATATCTCGATTTTGAACCTACTATATCTCTGAAATCATTCCCGCTAGACCCTAAGTGTGATGTATTGATGAAATCAGCTCTTCAGGGAGAATTATGTGAACTCGAAATACTTCACAAAAATTTTGAAGCATATAATTGCAATCTAAACGAGAATCTAAACTCTACAATCTTCAGTGATTATCCACAACGAAATCCTTGAGGTGACCTGGTTATCGATGATAAGGTCCAGATCACCATTGGGATTCTTGTTGCTCTTCAGGAAGCTGGTCAATTGGATTATCTCTTGGTGTTTGGAACATTGCTTCTGGATGCGTCTCTATTCGTGGAATCTGAAGACTCGGTAGATATACTGGATTCTCCTGTGAATTATTTTTAGGACACAAATGGTTTTCAAGTTCTTTCACGATCTGACTGCAGACCTTTTTATCTGCGTAAACGCCTCTCATGGTCAGCTAATATTCGAATCGTTGATGATATATTTTGAAGCTTTCCTTTGATGCAATTGGATTTTCGAAGTTTGGAATCAACATGGATATTACAGCTTGACATCGAACTGAACTTTCTAAAGCAGATGCTGTAGAAGAAGAGGCTATTTTTTGTAGTAACAACTGTTGACTTTTGTTGAAATTTTCAAGCAACTGCGCAAATCAGCATTCATTCTGAGCTATGCTTTATGTTGTAGTAACTTTTTTTTTGTATCTCTTGGAGCGAACGAGAAGAAATTCTTATATTGTTCAGGTTCCTCGTCGCCAGATTGTTCTGAATGATGAATAATATGCATATTCAACGTTTATTTGACTGACCGTCAACTCGCAGTATCCCCAAATATGTTTCTAGCATCCCAGCAAATATTTCAATAATGGGCAT